ATATTTCAATATGTATGTTTACTTACTTTCTTGACTTTTTTTTGCATTTCGCTTTATAATTTTTTTAAGAGAAAGGAAGAAGTAAAACAAGAAGTGGCCACGTTGATGAACAACTTATTGTATTCATACTTAATGGATTGACTATTGACCACATATAAAAAAAAAAAAAAGAAAAAGACTGATAGTTATTCGATCATTACTTAAGCTAATTAACAGGACTGGGTATTAAGATACACGTATCCAATGGCTCTGATCTGTCGTTGTTATTAAGGGTCATCGTGTTATGAAGGATAATCTATTCATCCTAACTCCCTCTCTTTGCCTCAAATGTTCTTAATAAGCTTCTGTGGAAAGCTTTACGATTTCAGTTGAAGAGTGTCTCATATTTAGTATAAATACTCGTCCTTAATAAAGACAATCGACGTATATCTTTTAGTCTGGTTAATTGTATTATTTATTCTTTTTAACTGATACTTTGTTTTCAACACAACTGAAGTAGTATAACATGTAACTGAGACTGATGTATATAGGGGATGCAGAATGAGAATTCCAATTAAATCGATTTTTCTCTGCATTGCTTCCAAATTCGTATTTATAGAATAGCTAGACTTCAAAAAACTGTATTTCCAAAGCAAACGATGGTGTATTATGTAGCAGCCAACTTTATCAAGAATTCACATCCAGTAAAGATGTCAAATGCTTTAAGTCACGTCTCGTCTATCCCTATAGATCGATCAAAACTGCTCTCGTTGATATATTCTCTGCTCAAGGTTTTGAAGAAAGGATTCATCACTGGAAAATCGTAATACCAAGGCTGAACATTACTTTGGCGTTTTTAATGATGTCATGTTCAATGAACTACGGTATAAATTGGGGCACCCGTTTCTGTGAACTTCCTTGTCTAATCTTTCTAAATCTGAGTGTGAATTTGTTTCAATCTTTTGACAACATTACTTGTTCTTGTGGCGCGATATATCTTTCAACCAACAATCTTCCCAGGGAGGAAGGTCTGAAGCAAGAAAATGTCATTCTTGTTGGCTTGATGCCTGATGGTTCCGAATCTAATACAACTGACATCATGTCTTATCTTGATCCTCTGATTGATAAGCTGATTGAGCTGTATAGTGAGATACCCGTCGCTATCGACGCATATCCTAATGGCAATACTTCAAATACCATATTGCTTTTTGAAGCTTATGATATCTTTGCTTGCCGTAAAGCAAGTGATTTCCTTGGACATGGTTGTGCTTTTGCTTGCAATACGTGCAAAACCAAGTTAAATATGGATGATGGCTGTCTCAATTTCTCTGATAAGTTCCAGTCATTTGAAGGTTGTAAGCTGCGAACAAGGAAGTCAAACGTGGAAGTTATGTTAAGGTGGAATAACGTGAATAGTTCTCTAGAGGGAAGATTGCTTGAGCAGGAAGATCGTTATCGCTTTGCCGAGTTGCATTGTCTTCCTTATTTCGGTGTTTTTCGTCATTCCGTAGTAGGTCCTATACATAGTCTTTTAATAGGCATTCGCAAGTGGATGGCATATGTCTGGAAAAAAAAAAAATTCAATTCCCTGCAAGTAAATATACAACAGAAAAACCAATATACTTTTAAGACTGAATAGCAACCTTGACGAATCATGAGCAAAGGAAGGTACAGAGCATGACCTGAGAGACATACAGTACACTCTGTAATTGCATTTACTCTAAAGAGAAACAGTAAAATAACAGTGTGTGAGACTAGCCAATAAAAAGCTGTTAATATTTTTAACTCTATCCATTTGTAAAAACATAAATTGATAAAATTAAAGAAACAGAAGACTGTACATTTTATTCCGAAACTACGATATATTTCATGCAATGTGTTAGTGACACTGTACATACGGTTGTACTTTAGACGATCACAATGTCTCAGCGACACTTCAATCATCCTTCAATCTTGCTAGATTCAGTGATCTCTCAAATGAGAAGGAAAGGCCATCACTTCAGCATTCCCTATGTCAAGAAGTTGTCTTGGAATGGATCAATACATGCAGTAGAAGATGCTAAGCCTGTTTGATTCCCACAAAAAATTTCAAAGCATATGTCATTCATTTTCCCTTTTAAAATTTCTGCCGTTTATATACATTGAAAAGCTTTTTGGAAAATCAAGATGAAGTCATTCGCCGTCTTCAAAGGTTCGAAGAGCAAATGGCTGGTCAACCTGAACCTATGGAAGAAAATAATGTACTTTTTATTTCTTTGAAGTAAAAAACTCTTTGAATAGAGAGCACCACTTAAACAATATAATGAAATAACGCACGGTAAGAAGTATTATAACATATGGTTAAACCTTCACACTTCAGATTATTAATATCAGTCAATATATTTGAATCCTCATTGTTAAGCAGGTGACAAAATTAGTCTTTCTCACTCTCTGAAATAGCAAGATGCAAGTAGACAAATTGCCCTTAGCTGTTTGGCTTCATAGACCCTGATATCATCATTTCTTTGGTGTTGATATACGTGCATAGCAAGAACAAAAGGACTTACACTGCTTGTATTCTTTTATGCGTTTGAAAGGTAAATAGTTGTATGAATCAGATAGGTTGTCATGCTATTATTATTCTGCCGCAATAGAATAAGTACAGTATCATATATAGAAGCTATTGCGACAGTTGCAGTAATAGAAACTGCAGACGTAGTTGTACATAGAGAAATAAAGATATTACTCGGATATAATTTAAAATCGATAATAACGATTACACTTAATGATCTTCATTGTTTCCAATTTGACAGCGTATAATAATACTTAAAATGAGCTTGATATTTTTGTGAGATACATAAAATAAATGTGGTCAACACTTATAAAAAACACGTAGCTGAAAAAGTTGCTAGAGATTTTGTTTAAATAGTCTGGTCTTTACTTCTTTTTCTTTTCTTCTTTGGATCAAAAAGTAAGAGCAGCTATTCCTCAGCTAGCCCTAACGTATATTATATTCTTCACTCTTAGTAAAAAAAACTGACGTGTAGTATTATAGATTGCCTATCAAAACTAACCTGGTACTGGCTGGGGATAGTTTGGTTCTTACCAAACCTTGGTTTCGTCCACTTCTTCAGCCCCTTCCGCTCCTTTGGTTGCTCCCTTGTTGTTTCTTTGCTTGTTTCTTCTTTTTTCTCTTTCTTTGCCTTTCTCAGGCAGTTATCGTTGGCCATATTCAATGTACTTCGGGTAAGATATTAATAATTTTAAATATTTACTCATTTTTCTGCCTCTCTTTTTCTTTTCTTTCTAATGTAAGCATTTAATATAAATGTAAATAACTGATGTGCCAATCATTTCTTTGTTTATTCTTTTGCTTCTGATGGACTTTCTTTTATCATTATTTGTTGTCTGGAATTATTTTTTTTATCAGTGTGCAAATAATTTCTGAATAAAGTGTAAATAGGCCTGAAACGGAATAGGTTTATGCATATTTGTTTAAAAAGAAGATTACTTTTTGCATATTATAAATTGTTATTAAAAAAGGAGGTTGTAAAAGGGTTTTATATTCTCTCTCTCTCTTTTCTTTAAAGTATCCTTTTCTTTACTCCCTCTCTCTCTGTATGTGTAAGCATATCAGCAACATGACGGAGCTATGTTTAACAAAGGCTACTGTCAAACTACCAAAAAAAACAAGAAATAACTCATGTCTGAAGGAAAGTGTGCCAGATATTCTTGTTAACGAAAGAGTATACTTTGATGGCTATAGAGTGACCAAAGATGATATCATTGTCTTATTTAAGGATTATGGTCCTATAAAGTAAAATAAGGGAAACGTAACCATTTCTTAACTCATTCCCTCCTTAGAATTGATATTAACCAAATAAAAGGAAATATATGCTCTGGTTATATCCAATTTAGGACCAAAGAGATAGGTAATACACTGTCATTATCGCGTGGTTTCATAAATGTTGACAAGTCTATAGCTGATCGGGCCTACACTTTATTCAACTGCATCAAATCCGATGCAGAACTGCAACTTAAGATAAATCCACCACATAAAGCAGAACCAGAAGTAGAAGCGAACGTTTTATATATTCAAAACCTGTCATATAAGATGTCCCCCGGGCTAATTTATGATCTATTCAGACCTTTTGGACCCATCAACTCATGCAAAATGTCAGAAGGTTCCACAACAGCTTTGTTACAATACTTTAAATCAAAGAACGCATATGATGCACAGCGGAAGATGGTAAATAATAATATCAACAAGTGTCCAACACATGTATCTTTTTAACATGTACGCTTATATATTAGAGCGGCAAGCTAGTACATGATAACGTCATGTAGGTAACAAATACAGAAAGCTATATAAACCTTCCTCTTGGTCCTCTAATCCTTTTCTCTTTTTTTTTTTATCTCTTTCCCTTTTTCTTTCTCCTTCATTGAACTTTTTCTTCCTTATATTCCTTTCTTTTTACTTCCTATGTACAGTACTGTTACTCATCTAAATACGACCAAGTTACAAACTACAGAATTAAAAACTAATGTAAGTCCTAAATGACTATCTTTGCTCTTTAACTCACCTTATTTAGACCAAGACAGCTAAATCAAATATCCCAATTGATTATACCAATCTTTATATTAAAAATCTGGACCTTGAAGTTAAAAGTGCCGATCTGTTTAAGCATTTTCGGAAATATGGCCACATCATATCAGCACGAGTTATGAAGCATCCACAAACAAAGCAATCTAGAGGATTCGGATTTGTCAGTTTTTCAAAGACCGAAGAGGCTATGCAGGCCAAGGAAGAAATGAATGGCCAATTTATCGCTTCCAAGCCTATCATTGTAGCCTTCCATGAACCTAAGAAGGCTAAGAGTGAAGACAATCAGAGTCCGGATAGCAACAGTAGCAACCATTCTGCACCTGTTGCTTCATATCATCCTAGGTCAACTACGCCCACAGATAAGCCCAAGTATAATAGTAGTATGAACAATAATGCATATAATAATGGATTACCACTCAAGCGACAAGTTTCAGCACCTATCCACCATCAACCCACTTATACCCCTTCCGGTTTGTTCATTCCTGCCCCTCTTCCAACTCAGCAAAATAGGCCCACATTACGCCGAAGCGGTTCTATTGAGTCAGTTACCACTGCAATGACCGAAACAAACTCTCAGCTGAAGAGACAAGCCATTATCCAAGCTATTTTCACGATGAATCAACATGAGCAAAACCTTCAAGATATTGTTGACATGCTGCTGACTTTAAAGAAAAAGGACCTGGCTACTTGTTTATTTAATAAGGCATTCCTATTGGCAAAGATTAAGCAAGCCAAGGAAGCACTTGAAATATTTCAAGAAGAGGAGCAACAACAACAACCGCTTCAACAACAGCAGCAACAACAGCAAATACAAATGCAAAACTTTTATTACCATTTACCTAATATCGAAATTCCTCCAAGATGTTCTCGTGCTATTCCGATTGTTGCACCGCCTGATGCGGGCGTAAAGCCTAAAAAGCAAAAGGAATCTGATTCGAAGGACTTGAAAGAAGAGATTGAAAAATTTTTGGAAACATTAAAAGATTTGGCGTCATATGAGCAAAAACAGTTACTGGGTGACAGACTCTTTCCGCTTGTCAAAGTAAGTCAAAAAAAAAAAGTAAACAAATAACCTAACCTTAATTTTTCTATTAGGCTACTGGTGTGAAACATGCTCCAAGGGTAACCATTCGTTTATTAGATACAATATCCATTCAAGAATTAGCTCATTCAATGTATGATAAGCACAAATTACAACAACTCGTAAATAATGCACCAATCAATAAATAAGTTTATTCCCCCCTTTTGTCTTACCTTTATTTTGAAGTACACATATTGATGCATTTCTTTGAAAATAAATTAATACATACACATATATATCTCGAATCATATATAATATTTTCTTAAACATTATCTGTATCAAATTTAGCTGTGAGATACTTGTACCTGTTCACATGGGTATCACTCAATTTTTTGTAAGGGAATAAAAAGCAAGGAAAATTTAAGTCCCTTCTTGGCACAGCAAATGAGGTACACTCTGATGATGACAAGTAAACACTTGCGAAATAAAGAAGAGAGTATGCTAATATAAAAGACATAATTTAAACGTACAAGGTTAAAGTTCTTAAAGGTCAAGTTTTATTGAATTGTACTTGCTCAACATCATCAGTGACACAGCGGGATTGATTTCGATCGACGACAGCTCAACTTCGATTTCCCTATTCTTGTCGTCAAGAATTTCCTCTGTCAACAGAAGATCAATGCTTCTACCAATAATAATTTTTTCGAGATTGCCATATTCATATTCAGTTTAACTCTCTTTGAGCCTTTGTGGTGTAGGACGTAGCCGCGCCGACCTTTTGCTGTATTGTAGCATTACGAAGCAAACTTGTAAGCACACTCTCCCAATAGAAAGTGAACGGCTTCCTTGAGCTTTTGTTGGTTCATTTTCTGATATCGACAAAAGTCAACAATGAAGCCAATAACTGTACGATATTTTCGAGTAGATGGTTTTGCCTTGGAAGCATAAGAATACAAAAGGGCGGAATAAGTTATTTTGTAAGCTTTTATGAATAGAGAAAAGGAAAGATATTCATGGCAAAAAAGAAACGAACCTTTAAAAATGTTGTCTAATACTATAAGTTACTGCCCATCACCTTTTATAATCCTACTTTTCTCACTTGTAGTATATTTATGCATTTCGTTCATTGTCTTTTCATTATCATTGGTATAAGCGGTATAGCATGATCAAAGTTTTTCTTTAATGACAATCCATCTTTAGTTTGTGTAATTTTGCTTTTACTTTATCCTCAACAACCATCTTTTCAGCTTCATATCTATACTATTTATCGATAGTGTTTACTATCCCAGAAAGTAAAATATATAGATCTGATCATTGTTTTACTTTTAAGTTGTTGAAGCCTTGGAGCTGATCGATAGGTTATTAACTACGTTTCTAAGAATAACGCATTGACCTCAATTCCTCTGCCAGATGTTGCATTAGCAAGCCCTTTATGGAATTATCTTTACAAGACACACAAGAAACCACGAGCAGTCTGGACCTGGTGCCTGTTGGCAGTTGTATACAGACACTCTTAGTAAAAAAAAAACTGACGTGTAGTATTATAGATTGCCTATCAAAACTAACCTGGTACTGGCTGGGGATAGTTTGGTTCTTACCAAACCTTGGTTTCGTC